GTGACTTCCTTGAATAAGACGCCGTTCAGTTTTCAGGGTAAGGATTTTAGAAAAAAGTATCATCTTATAGTCGGAAAAATACGGTATCTTTTCTTTTAATTGTGCTCTGGTTCTCTCCAATTAACCTTCAAAGCCCAGTCTTATCTTTTATTTTTACAGCCAAAACTTTCCCACAACGTTTTACAGTTAATTCCAAAATCATCTGCTGTATTTTTATAAAATTTAAAACAGAACATAAAAAAATATTATTTCAAATCCATCTGGCCCCTTAACTGTCCACAGCCAACACTCCCTTTCACTGCTTTCCAAAATTTAAATTTTTTCTTTTTAATCTTTAAAGTTACTTAAACCTTCTTTTTCCCAGGATAGAAGGAAATTCTCCTGGTGTGCAGCAACTTGCCTTTCAAAAGGTTTTTAATTTCAAAGTAAATTGCTAATAAGTAATTTCCGATGTTAATTAAAAGAGGAAGTGAAAGCAAATCTAGTGGCTCTTTAGAGGCTCCTAACTGTGGCTTGGGCTCGATGTTTCCCGCGACTCCCAGAGCGCTCAACCTGCTGGAGATGGCTAAATTGCAATCTCTTCACAGAGAGCCTCTGTAAGGAATATTTGTGGGTGATCCGGTCATCTCCTTTGTGTGGAGATGTTCCGAAGAGCTGGACTTTTCACTGGCTCCTCTTAATCATTGTGGTCTTCAGATCCACAAAAATGGAGCCATCTTCAATCCGCCATTACTCCCCCAGAAGTCCGTTTTCCTGATAGTTCCTGTGGTAACCGATTGAATAGATATTTGCACTGAAAATTGGAGCTTGTTGCCATTTCTTGACTTGCTCTTTAAATAAGTAAGTGTACTGACACAATGTGTATTCAAGAAGACTTTAGTCCAAGAGAGTCAGAGAAATAGTCCATATGTATATTTTACAGTAAAGTAATAATGAAGAGAGAGAGAAAAATATTGATAGGAAAACACTTCTATAAACAGTATAGCAATATTATAGTTTGAGCTAAGGTGGGGAAAGATTGGGATTTTAACTAATACGTTAAAATATAGGTCCATATTTAAACACCAAGAAGTCTAATATGCACTGATATACACAGGCTGAAACAAGATAAGTTGCTAAAAATTCATTCTTATTCCTATGAAGTTGTGTTCTGATGAGCAGGCCCATATTTAAACACCAAAAAGTCTAATATTATCAGCCTTACTAGGTAGACCAGACAGGAAACATGACCAGATGAGCTAATTCTACTTATAAGGCTACATTAACAGAATCTTGCAAGTCTAAAAGTACAATTCTCCCCCCATCTCCTTTACACCCCAAGAAACTAGGGAGGGTCCCTTCTGAGCCTCTTCCCCCTCCCTCTATCCAGCTGCGGGATATGCTGTCCCTTATCTGCCCATTCCCTTAGCAGCGTCTCTTTGCCCAGTCTCCCAAGGTGTTTCCCAAATACCATTACAAATATGCTGTGATATACACGGACAGGCTAAAATAAGACAAATTACCAGAATTTCCTTCTTACTTCTGTAATGTTGTGCTAGGCTTCCTCTGTTTGATGAACCACACCCTTATAATGTTTATTAGTAACTACTGGAGAAAAGAGCAGTTTGCATGGTTATGTCCACGTCCTGATGATGATCTACATCATAATAATTGATTTAGATAAAGGTTTGTGTGTGTGTGTATGTTCAAGTCAGTCTTGACACATGGCAACTGCCTGACTACTCCCTGCAGTATTCTTGGCAACATTGCCTTCTTCGCAGGGCTGAGAGAGAGTGACTGGCCTAAAGTCACCCACCTGGCTTCGTGCATAAGGTGGGATTAGAACTGATAGTCTCCTGGTTTCTAGCTCGGTGCACCAAACTTGCTTTCCTAAAGGGAAGAAGTAGAAATTGCTTATTCAGTTTATAGATGACAGCTGCTTCAATAAGATTGAGATGGCAAAATAGAGTGCTGGACTATACCCAATGATTTTTCAACAGAGATAAATACAAACTCTGGTGTTTTGATAAAAATCAGTTACATATATACAACATGAGTTTGATAGTACTGATTTGACAGCAGTATAGGCAAGAAGGGTCAAGGGTGAATTTAGTAGATTTTGCATCTGATAAAATGAGCTGCAGCTCACAAAAGCTTATGCCTTTTGATAAAATTTGTTAACTTGGTAAAAGTGCTATCAGACTTCTCCTGATTTTTAGCCACCGTAGACTAACAGGGCTCTCCTTCTATAATGTCTAGATCGCACAGCAAAGGCTATGTAAATTGTTCCCAAGCAGTGCTTTGTAATACAGAACTCTGGTGCATTCCAAACCTCCTCTTTTGAAAGATTTGCCCAGCCCTAGTAAACATGAAGCTAATGTTGATATGTGGCAGCTAAAAGCCTGGGATCTGCTTTATTCTGCTTCCGTTGACTTCACCATGTTTATTGCATGCAGTTCAGAGCACTGAAGTGATGAGCTGGAGCATATATAGAGGTTGCTAACAAAAAGATAAAGGGCCTGTAGACCATATCCTCTGAGGAATGGTTGAATGAGTTGGATATGTTAGCCTAGAGAAGAGACTATTAAAATATTGTATGATTGCCATTCAAAATAGACATTTAAACTGGAACATTATGAAAACTGAGGCAGTGCAACAGATTGCTTTGGAAAATTTGGAAACAGGTGCTAGGTAGTCACAATGAAGGGTGCTATAATAGTAGATTTACTGTATTGGCCAGTGTTTGGAGTAGATAGTCTTTGTTTTATGAAAGTTAACATTCTTGATCTGTGTATTGAGTTCCTGCTGTGCAACAAACAAGTGTTCACTGAAGGAAGTACTTTTATATTTTTGCACAGATCAGAAGCATTGCCTGATCTTCTTTAAAATTGCAGTTTTAAAGTTAACTGGCATTACTTCAGGATGCTCTTTTGGAGCAATGTTATAAGGAGTTGTGAGAACAAAACATCTTTTCCATTGCCACAGAAACAAGTGTGGTACTGTGCAATCCTTCTGAGCCAAAACAAACATTATCCTTTAGTTTAATGAATCTAAAAAATAGTATCTTTCCTTCAGCCAGAAGGATTGGGTGCTATCATACTAGATTCTCTAAGGGTAGAACAGGTGAGTGAACTCTACCATTCTTCACAACTATCTAGTAAATGTCATACTTCAGTTAAGTATCCTTAGGGACTTTCAAAGGGAATGGAGAGAAAACTAACTTTAGGTAGGTTGCCTGGTGCAACTTCCTCCTTTCAGACCCACCAGTCCCTGCTGTTTTTTTAGAAACATATTTGTTTGTCATATACTGTACATACATACATTTATTTGCAACCCTAGGTTTTAGCAAAACGTATTTATTTTACTTTGCCTCGTTATCTTTTGGACAGCTTGGTAGTTTCTTAAATGCTGCTGATTGAATTTTTTTTTTAATTCATGCATTTTTAATCCTCTAAAATTACAGAATTCTTTCTGGATTTTTCCCCCTAATTTTGTACTATATCATTATGTTTTTCCTTCTAGTGGAGGCGATAGTGGAGTTTGACTACAAAGCTCAACATGATGATGAGCTGACAATCACTGTAGGTGACATTATCACCAACATCAGAAAAGAGGATGGAGGCTGGTGGGAAGGACAGCTCAAAGGCAGAAGAGGTTTGTTCCCTGACAACTTTGTAAGAGTGAGTACAAAGTGAAAACTGTTAATTGTCTTGTGTCACCGACTTACATTATCTTGTTGAGATACAGGTTTGCAATATTAGCAGCCAAAATATTTATTTAAATTAATATAAGAGTAGACAACGTAAAAGGCAATTTGGAAGTCTGAAATAATTATTAACAGGGAGATGGACATAACTTTCTATGAGGACTGTGGCTTATACACTTTTAATTTGCTTTGCTGTTTTTCTTCATTTCAATTGCCTTCTCCTTCCTGCTGTATATCAGCTTCCATATGATCTTCCCTAAAGTTTAAGATCAGCCTGACGAACACTGCTTCAGATTTCAGCTTCTTCAAAGACCCAGAGAAGAAACAAATAAGTTGTTACTAATGAGCTTTGGCATGCTTCCAATTGAACATATGCTTTAGTTACCTTTTATGATATTGTAAGAATCAGAGACAATTTCCTTTTCAGCTTTCTTTTGTGGTTTTCTATTTCTGTAATAGGTTTTCTGCTGTGCCTTTTCTAAAAATGTTTATACCTAGTTATTTTAATTTAGCTTTGTTTTTATGCTGTTTTAATGTTTCTATTGTGCATCCCTGTATCTGCTGAAAAATTATATAGTAATTTTCTAAATAAATCAGATCATGCATGATTATTCACTGGTTTTAACACTGAACATGCTTCTATTGCAAACAAAGTTGGACACAAGTATATAAAACAAATGGCATCAAAATGTGGTAGAATGGTCTGCTAGTGCCCAAAATGTACATTTATTATTCTTTAGCTACTATATAATTTGTTGAGGAAACAATCTTCTCATTTCTCCATTAATAACTATGGTCAGAAGGTATCATTAAGAGGTATTAGGTAAATTGAAAATTTAGCTGAAGTTGAATATTTAGGTATGCATTAATATTTGTTAGAAATTTAATTTTGAATTGAAGGAAAGGAGTAATTTGGTTTTGTTAATGATTTATGTTTGTACAGCACTGCATGACTGACAGATGAAGGTGTGGATCATTTCATAGAGTAGAATTTTGTTTGATAAGTTGAATATTCTCTAATGGTTTATTCATGAACACAGACATCAAGTAATTAATGCATATTTGAGACAGTTCTGCAATTACTTGCAAGTGGATAAATTAGTTTGAGAATTCTTGGGTGAAACTTTGGTGTTGTAGCAGTTAAGGAGTTTGATTGTCACCATTGGCATCCAGATTCTAGTCTGCCCTTCGCCATGGAAGTTCACAGGGTACTTGGGTCCATCACTCTCTCTTTCAGCCTAACCTACATCACAGTGTTGTTGTAAGTAAAAATAGGAAGGACTACTAAGCACATCACCTTGAATTCCTGAACAAAAAGACAAGATATACATCTAACAAATTCACTTTGTAGATCAGATTTATCCCCACATTGTTAGCTTTCTGGAATTGTTTCAGAAGCTTTATGAAAAATGAGGTGACACTATTGTTGTTTTGGTTATCATCACTGCTGATTTTTTTTTTTTGGTGATATTTTTATAATGACCTTTGTTGCTCTTATTTATTTACTCCAATGTTTCATTTGTATTAATTGATATAAACTATTGTGAGTCAGGTTCAGTTGTGGCAGTATACAAATAAATAAATGACTTTTTACCAAATTGAAGGTGGAAATTTGTTGAGCATAAAAAGATCTTAAAATAAAAAAAGAACAGAACACAATCACATATGTGTAGATATTTTTAACTATTTTACAGAAAGCACAGTGATATACAGCAGTTGCAGGCAGTTTCTTTGTAAGATACATATTTAAAATATTGCATTTTAGACATAATACAGACATGTGAACATAAATCAGTTACTAAATTGTGGTAAATTACCAGATTCTATAAATAACCATTTTGTAAAGTAAAGCTAACAAATAGTAGCTTCTGTGCTTTATTCATGTTCTTAATTTTGATAATAGAGGAAAAGCTCAGAATGGATCTGTCAGGTTTACTTTATTTTTCTTAAAAATATGAGAAATCAAAAGAGGAAGAAAATACTATGTGGAGCTTAATTTGACCAGATAATTTCCTTTTAGTGAGTTCATGCTAAGCAAAGCAAGAGATTTAGTATAAAAATTAAGAACATTAATCTTCTGGGAAGTACAAATGTTATGCTATGGTGTCATAAGGCCAAGGAACATATTTTTGTGATAGTTGCATTGCTAATCTTTGTTTACTTCTACTAAATTAGTGTATATGTAATAGCTGAGAGAGTACAATACTGTGATGGTACATAAAGCAGGAGATGATAGTGGCAAAATTCTGCTGACTTTAATTTGTAAATGCAACCATATATCTGATATAGTTGTGGACTGTAATGTTTGAAAGAAGCTACATTCACTGTATTTTTTTTTTCTTCATCTGGATATTTGTCCTGCTCCAGATGGTTTGAAGTGTAGACTCTTAGACTTGCTTGGTATATTTTTGACCAACTATATGTTGTATAAGTTGTAGGATCTCTAATGGTTTTGATCATTGGTACATAATAAAATAAACTTTTTGACGGTGCAAGTAATATGCTGCAAGTTATTTTTTTAAATCCTAGGACCATTTTAACATACAAAATATATGAAAGAAGAATTCATCTCTCCATATATGTAATAAAACCTAAGTAATATCCTTTGAATAGAACTGCATAATGCCTAAAGATATTTGTCTTGTTCTTTAGCAGAAATTGAAGAGGTATATCTCAGACTCAATTCTTCTTTTGGCTTAAAGAGCACAATAGCATTTCTTTCACATACGGATTTTCTGTTTGCATAAAAAACAAGCGTAACAAAATGAGTAGAGGAATATATGAAATAAATAGAACATTAAACAGTTTAATTGTACATAATTCAAATTGCATAGTTACTGCCATATTTAATTATAAAGCTTCTTAAGGGTACATTAAGCTACGTCTGGTATTACTGCCTAAGAGTGATAGTTACTCAGTATGTAGGATATTCTTCCCCAAGCTGATACTCTCCAGATGGGTTGGGCATTGGGTGGAAATTCTCATGGTTACTATCCCAACTCATCTGATAGGCATCATAGTGATGAATGCTGTTGTAGGGCACAGCATTTATATATCTCTCTACACAAATATACTTACTATTGATAACTGGTGCCTTTGCCTGGCATATGAAGATTGCTTGTTTATTAAGTCTTAGGAAATGTAGAAATGAAATGCTAGCATCTAGATTTTTCCACAGTTCAGGAAGAAAAGTTGTAAGAAAGAAACTGCTAGAAACAAAATAAAGTTAGTCTTTGTGACCAGGATTAGGGTACCTTTTGTTGTATTCGCAAACATATCATTTGCATTTATGTCCAATTTAATGGGCCTCAGTGTTCATCTGCTTACAGTAATCAGGCTTACAGTATTTAGTGTTTGGAAAGTACATGAGGGAATCAGAAACTAAGCAACTACTGAGTTGCAACAGTATTGAGGCAAGGGAGTGTATTTACAAACTGCTAGCAAACAAAATAAAGTTATATGGTATCTTAAAAAATAAAATGCTTCTAAGAATTCAAGAAATAACATGTTAAAGGAAACTGCACTGTAGGTATTAACTGATTTCACGCTTTGTGCTTAATTATGTTTTGTTCAAGTATAATGTGATATATAATACTAATCCCTAAATCAAGTCTTTTGACAAGATCACACATTTCAGAAACAAACCAATTACATTGTGGCTTAATATAATAATTTGGACAGCAGCTTTCCTTTTTTACAGCTAACAAGCCATACAAAAGTAGTTCTTTTTTTTATTTATTTAAGAGTGCAGAGAATTCTGTTTTGATGAGTTATATATGGCAGGGTGGATTCTGATAGACACAGAAATAGCAACTATTATTCTTGAATAGGTAGAGAGAATGCTCCCAACTTGTTACAGTTCTTAGATTTTTATAATTTTCCTGCTTGTATTGTCTTAGAAAAAAGTACAATTCCCTCTGTACATGGGAATACAACCGTATAACTTCAGTGTATCCTGTATTTGCTTAGGTTTATGTTATATTTTGATATCCTTATCCTTTCTTGAAAATTACAGAGGGTCTAGGTTTCCTGAGAATATTTCTTAGAGGAGTGAAGGTGATTCCAGAAATCTAAATGGTTCTGTAGTATTATTGCTTTCAATTGTAGTATAAATACAGTAAGACATACTTGCTTTGTTTCTTCAATATGTATAGAGAAGATAAAATTTGAAGACCAAATAAAAAGTTGCTTATCTTGTGTCATAAAAAATGAGTATCAAATCCAGCAAGGTAAACACTTTCAAGGGCTATATCCTTCTTCATTAGTTTATCTCAAGAGTATTTTCAGTGGCTTCCACAAGTTTGCCCTTTCACAAAATAGTGGCCAATCAAAACACCAGCTTACTAGAAACAGACAGTGCCCTGTTTCCTACCACTTACATTGGGGATTCCATAGGCATGTCATATTAAATCTGATAGTCCTAGGAGAATCATAGGGTGCTGGTTTTTGTTGTAAACTGACATAGCTGTTTCTCTGGAAATCTTAACTTTTTTTAAATGCTGAATTTCAAATTAACTCTTCATTGCATGAACATTCCCATTTCTATTATCTTGTAAAGACAGGTTGTGTGGCAATGGGAAAATGTAGTGAGAATGACATGAATTAGCAGTGAATTTACTAATATGTGTCATTGATAAAATCATTTCACTGCTGCTTTCTCTTAAATTTAAACATATTTTAGTGTATTTTAATAATGCATTTGAAAACAGTTAAAAGTCTTGTTGAAGTTTCCTATTCTCTTTTTAGCTTCATTTGATTTGCCATAATTTTCTTAGCATATTAAATAATTTTTAAATTCATAGCTGTCGTACATAACTCTCCAGGGAGAGATGAACGTGGGAAACATGAGAAATAGTTGTTTCTGAACCAATGAATGCTTGTTTTTTCTCAATTAAGGCAAAATTCACATTTCCTTGGGGACTTATTATTCCTATTTTTCATTTTGATTGGAATGCTGCATGTATGCATTTTTCA